GTCTCTGCTCCTGTAAGGCTTCAGATTGGTGTCTCAAACATGAATCCTCTGATGCTCCTGTAAGGCTTCAGAAGGATCATACTTCCCCATACCTCTATTCATCAGTAGCACAGAGGAGCTACTATCACCTGTTTGGTCATAAGTTAGTGTTTTCACCAGTTGCACAGAGGAGCTACGATCATCTGAGCTCCATACTACAAATGTAGTTTGAGGAGTTAGCAAGGTAACTTTGGTCAACTCTTGAGTTCAACTCGGGATAACTGGTACCACAAAAGTGGCTCACATTTTAGCCAGGTACATTTCTATGACAACGAATCCTTCAGAACTAACCTGCTCCGGGGCAGGCTAACTCAGGGCTAACTACATTTATCCTGAATGAAATGACTGGGCCGCAAGTTGAGGACCAAATAAATAAAATTCCTTCCCTCTCGCAAAGATTGCGTCATCATCCACTTCATTTGAGGAAGACACCTGATTTAAGTATTTGATTAATCAAATGTGTTTCTGTGTGTTAAAAAATAGTAATGTTAAAATACCTATCACATTACACATTTAATATTTACAAATGCATTTGAAACTTCATGCACAGTAAAACTTTTGGCAGGTGGAAGAGCATCCACTATGGATGGAGTCTGAGCTGGAATGTGAAGAAGCTAGCTTTAGGAAACCCTGAGAATATCTAGCTTGCTTGGTAGTATTACCCCTCTGTTTGGTCATACGTTAGTATTTTCACCAGTTGCACAGAGGAGCTACGATCACCTGTTTGAGTTAGTCATTTCCAGGCATTGGAAGCTGGTGTCAACTGTTCACAGGGTTCGTAGGTTACTTTGTAAATGTAGGCCTAATCCGTTACAATTACTAGTTATCTGTCTAAAATAATCAGTAATCAGTAATGTAACTTTTAGATTACTTTCCCCTTAAGAGGAATTAGAAGAAGACAAACTGAATATTACCAATTGACATCTATTGCAGGATAATCAATGTTAGAGTTTACATAGTTGGCCGTCAATGGATGTTGCATTTTACTTTATGGGTTGGTTATGTAGGCTTCTTCTAACCCATTGCATTATTTTAATACAGCTACTAATATGATTAGGCTATATCTTTACATTGAAAACCAAAGTCTGTCAGATTTCCAGTCATTACAATTTTTTTAATACCCCTTGATCTTCAAAAATAGGACTTGGGAATATAGAAATATAAATGCCAAATTGTTTTACCTTAGCATACCCCAAAAACTAAGGACTTATTAGCCTACTCTGTTTTTTATTTATTTTATTTAACCTTTATTTAACCACATACGAGAGATAAAGATAGGGAGATAAAGATACAGGGAGAGATAATGTTAGAGAGATAAAGATAGAGAGATACAGTTAGAGAGAGAGATAAAGATAGGGGGATAAAGTTAGAGAGAGAGATAAAGATAGAGAGATAAAGTTAGAGAGAGAGATAAAGATAGAGATAAGTTGAGAGATAAAGTAGAGGAGATAAAGATAGGGATAAAGTTAGAGAGAGAGATACAGATAGAGAGATAAAGTTAGAGAGAGAGATAAAGATAGGGAGATAAAGTTAGAGAGAGAGATAAAGATAGAGAGATAAAGTTAGAGAGAGAGATAAAGACAGAGAGATAAAGTTAGAGAGAGAGATAAAGACATAGAGATAAAGTTAGAGAGAGATAAAGATAGAGAGATAAAGTTATAGAGAGAGATAAAGATAGAGAGATAAAGTTAGAGAGAGATAAAGATAGGGAGATAACGTTAGAGAGAGAGAGATAAAGATAGAGAGATAAAGTTAGAGAGAGAGATAAAGATAGGGAGATAAAGTTAGAGAGAGATACAGATAGAGAGATAAAGTTAGAGAGAGAGATAAAGATAGAGAGATACAGTTAGAGAGAGAGATAAAGATAGAGAGATACAGTTAGAGAGAGAGATAAAGATAGGGAGATACAGTTAGAGCAGCGGAAGATAGCGAGCGTAAGTTAGAGAGAGGAATAAAGTAGGAGATCAGTTAGGAGCGGATAGATAGAGAGATACAGTAGAGAGAGAGATAATGATAGGGGATATAATTTCAGAGAGAGCTCCGCTCGCGACGGAGATCCCGTTCCCGTGAGCGGAGATAAGATAGGAGTACAGTTCGCGCGAGCTCCCGCTGCTCCTTTAAAGATAGGAGCTACAGTTAGAGCGAGAGATAAAGACAGAGACATCCAGTTGAGCAGAGATCAAGATAGAGCGATTACAGTTAGCAGAGACAGAGAATACAGTATAGGGAGATCCCGTTAGAGAGTAGAAGAGATAAAGATAGGGAGATAAAGTTATAGAGAGAGATAAAGGTAGAGAGAGATTTTATTTTTATTTTATTTCACCTTTATTTAACCAGGTAAGCCAGTTGAGAACAAGTTCTCATTTACAACTGCGACCTGGCCAAGATAAAGCAAAGCAGTGCGATTAAAAACAACAACAGAGTTACATATGGGGTAAACAAAACGTACAGTCAATAACACAATAGAAAATCTATATACAGTGTGTGCAAATGTAGTAAGTTATGGAGGTAAGGCAATAAATAGGCCATAGTGAAAAATAATTACAATTAGTATTAACACTGGAATGATAGATGTGCAAGAGATGATGTGCAAATAGAGATACTGGGGTGCAAATGAGCAAAATAAATAACAATGTAAATAATGTCGTAGCCGGCCGCGACTGGGAGACCCATGGGGCGGCGCACAATTGGCCCAGCGTCGTCCAGGGTAGGGGAGGGAATGGCCGGCAGGGATGTAGATCAGTTGGTAGAGCATATCGTTTGCAACGCCAGGGTGGTGGGTTCGATTCCCACAGGGGGGCAGTATAAAAAATGACTTTAAAAAATATATTTAAAACATTTTATTATATTGTTTAAGACCTTGAGCGTGGCTGAGGTGCACCCATGACCAGCTCGGAAACCAGATCGCATAGCGGAGAAGGTACGGTGGGATTCGAAATGGTCGGTGATCTGTTTGTTAACTTGGCTTTCAAATACTTTTCGAAAGGCAGGGCAGGATGGATATAGGTCTGTAACAGTTTGGATCTAGAGTGTCACCCCCTTTGAAGAGGGGGATGACCGCGGCAGCTTTCCAATCTCTGGGGATCTCAGACGTTACAAAAGAGAGGTTGAACAGGCTAGTAATAGGGGTTGCGACAATTTTGGCGGCTAATTTTAGAAAGAAAGGGTCCAGATTGTCTAGCCCAGCTGATTTGTAGGGGCAGTCTAGTCTGGGGTGAACAAGGGGCTATATATATTCTTAGTTCTGAATTTTTTGAATGGGGCATGCTTATTTAAGATGGAGAGGAAAGCACTTTTGAAGAACATCCAGGCATCCTCTACTGACGGAATGAGGTCAATATCCATCCAGGATAACCGGGCCAGGTCAATTAGAAAGGCCTGCTCGCTAAAGTGTTTTAGGGAGCGTTTGACAGTGATGAGGGTTGGTCGTTTGACCGCGGACCCATTACGGACGCAGGCAATGAAGCAGTGATCGCTGAGATCCTGGTTGAAGACAGCGGAGGTGTATTTAGAGGGTAAATTAGTCAGGATGATATCTATGAGGGTGCCCATGTTTACGGATTTAGGGTTGTACCTGGTAGGTTCCTTGATAATTTGTGTGAGATTGAGGGCATCTAGTTTAGATTGTAGGATGGCCGGGGTGTTAAGCATATCCCAGTTTTAGGTCACCAAGCAGTACGAACTCAGTTCACATATGGTGTCCAGGGCACAGCTGGGGGCTGAGGGGGGGTCTGTAGCAAGCGGCGACAGTGAGAAACTTATTTCTGTAAAGGTGGATTTTTAGAAGTAGAAGCTCAAACTGTTTGGGCACAGACCTGGATAGTACGATAGAGCTCTGCAGGCTATCTCTACAGTAGATTGCAACTCCGCCCCCCTTGTTGTTTATGATTTGGTTGTCATGGAGGACTGATTGTGGCTCATTGTTTCGAGTTGAAAAAGAAACGCTGCTCTTACGGGATAGCATGCTTTGAGCACTATCAAAAAGTGCTATTTGCATGTGGAAAAATGGAAGCTGCATAGGCCTTATTGTTTACGTGTGTTGGTGACACTTTGATATCTCGATCATTTGCAGCTGGATAAGTCTATCAAAGAAAAGTGCGAGTTTGAGCGTGTGTCTGTTAGGTCTATGGATTTTTCTTTTATCAGCATGAAATAGATCGAGCAGTTAAAGTCTTCTTAAATGAAAACTGTTTTTTTTTTACAGTATGGAGCACAACACCATGGATGAGGTTAGAAGGGAGGGAGAGGAACTCCCTCAGACTGTTGTTCCGTAGGCTGGGATCCACACTATGCAGCTGTTGTTGAAGAGGTCCTCTGTAGCTCAGCTGGTAGAGCACGGCGCTTGTAACGCCAGGGTAGTGGGTTCGATCCCCGGGATACACCCATACACAAAAATGTATGCACACACGACTGTAAGTTTCTTTGGATAAAAGCGTCTGCTAAATGGCATATTATTATATATTACTGTTGCAACAGCGCATTTTTCACTGACTGTCCACTGGTCGCAAAAAAAACAACAATGATTGATAGGCAGCTTAAATTTCTTCAATTCAACCATTATTGGGTTAACATTCACATACACCAGAGAAACAGACAGTTTAATGTACTGAGTGTACAAAACATTAGGAACACAACTAATATTGAGTTGCACCCCCTTTTGCCCTCAGAACAGCTTCAATTCCACAGAGATGCTGGCCCATGTTGACTCCAATGCTTCCCACAGTTGGCTGGATGTCCTTTGGGTGGTGGACCATTCTTGATACACACGGGAAACTGTTGAGCGTGAAAACCCAGCAGCGTTAAAGATCTTGACACACTTAAACCGGTGCGCCTGGCACCTGCTACCATACCCCGTTCAAAGGCACTTCAATATTTTGTCTTGCCCATTCACCCGTCTGAATGGCACACATACACATCCATGTTTCAATTGTCTCAAGGCTTAAAAATCCTTCTTTAACCTGTCTCCTCCCCTTCATCTACACTGATTGAAGTGGATTTAACAAGTTACATCAATAAGGGATCATAGCTTTCACCTGGATTCACCTGGTCAGTCTATGTCATGGAAAGAGCAGGTGTTCTTAATGTTTTGTACACTCAGGGTACATTTGAACAGCCATCCACAACAACCACAATCCGTAAGGAGCAAATAGCTAAATGAGAGCGCAGCAGTGTGATTCACATCAATGCGCTATGTAGACATCAATATTAAGTGATATCCATATCACCCATAGACTACACCACTGCTGTCGTCCTTACCTCCAAGCGTTTATTCAAGTTGGAAAATCTTCGGATACCGACAGCAGTCGCACCATTGGATGCCGACATCAGTCATCCCCATTGGATGCCGACAGCAGGATGCCGACATCAGTCGCACCATTGGATGCCGACATCAGTCGCACCATTGGATGCCGACATCAGTCGCACCATTGGATGCCGACAGCAGGATGCCGACATCAGTCGCACCATTGGATGCCGACATCAGTCGCACCATTGGTAGACAGGACTGCAGCCTTTTTATTCTTGCTCTTTTCCTGCAATCCATCAAACACATTTGGTGTGACATCATAGGGGTCAGACTTGGGGTCAGACTCACTCAGGTAGATTTTATTTTTATTTTTTACTTGCGCCTTTTTTCAATGCTGATTTTAATGTGATTGAGAAAACAGAAAGGTGTCAAATATTTCGCAAACATCCTTTCTGAATTTAAATGTCATCCTAGAAGTAAGCATATACTTTTCAAAAGTATCTGTAATCTGATTACAATATATTTGCTGTTAACGTAACAGATTAGAGTTATAGTTTTGGGGTAAGCCGTTCCATGTAGTGAGTTACTCCCCATCCCTGACTGCTCAGATGTTAAATCCAAGGCATTGGATTTTTCAACCGTTCCCTTTATTTCTAACATTGCTCTCTCCATCACCACAGTCGATCGAAATCGGCCCCCGACCAGGCGGGTCAATCTCTGGGTCAGGTCCTGGATGAGTCCCCTTACCTGGAGCCTTTCCTCCACGAGCTCCATGATGAGGAGCAACAGCGCCCTCTGGAGGACAGCCCCCTGCCCCACATGCTGCTGCCCCATCACTCCCAAAGCCTGGAGCTGATGGACAAGATGGACCGCAAGCTGAAGAAGAAACGACGCAACAAGCAGAAGAAACACCAGAGAAACAGACAGTTTAATGACCTCTGGGTCCGCATCGAGGAGAGGTGAGAGAGCACTGTGACGGTTGTGCTGTGTGTGTAAATGATCTAGTGATACAAGTCCTAAAGCCTTTAGTATTAGAGTGTGCCTCAGTTGGGTCATTGGTTCAATTTCCACAGAGATCGCTTTTGGATAAAAGCGTCTGCTAAATGGTATATGTTAAATGACTACGGGTGGTAATTAGATGCGATGTGTGTTCTTTAGAATGTGACACCACAGGCATTACATTAACCTCATCTTAGATGTCAAGACAGTTGGTTCAGTTCATCTCGTCTCAGGTAGGTATCACTTCACTGCTTAAGTCTTGTCAGTACTTGGGGGGTTACTGCTCTGTCTAGGGGATCTAACCTCTAACAGACGCTTCCTGATAGAAATCCTGCAGGCACAACCACACATCATATCACATCACAACCACCATACGTCTCCAACACACATGTTATTTATGGGAATTCGTCCAGACTGGTTCTCTATTGGTTCAGTGTTATGGATCCTGAGAAGGAAACACATCCAGGAGGTTGGGTAGCTGCAGGTAAGAGACCTTTGTGACAAAAACATGATCCTATTTTGAGAAATTTTAATACGATCACAAAGAGAGCGTTGTTGAATTTGCTATAAAGAACAACCACATGATTGTTACTTGGTTGATTCTCTGACTGACTGGTTATTTATAAATACAGGGCCAGTTTCCTAAACCTGGACTGAAAAGCTCAATGGAAAATGTCAATTGAAAGGGAAACCAGCCCTTAGTTTAATTCAAAATATCCAGGAATTATTGTAGACATGTAAGTCATGTTATAACTTGACCAATGTAGCTTTTTAACTTTCAAGGCTGACAAAAAATTCAAAATAATCATTTTAGTCAAAATAATTGAACAAGTACATTCAGTTGTCTTCCTCCACGCGGCCAATAGTAGTTGTCAAATCTGTCCTGAGGCGATGGGTGGAAACTGGTTCCAGATTCAAACCGGCCAGCCGTTTGTTGAGCCCAAATGGAGGCCGTCTGTTGACACAGATGGAGGATATGAATGTAATTTACAATTTCAAACACTGAAACAATTTATCCCAACTTCCATTTCGGTGTTTCTGCCTGCTGAAAGTCCAGGGTCTGTCGGACGGACGGCTCGCTCCACTCCTTGAAGCCCTCCTGTCAGCCAGAAACCGTTTCCAGACTTGATTTATTTATTCTCCTGTTTACTGTGTCTGGTTTAGTTAGAGAACATACCATGAACATTTAGCATGCATTCCAAATGGCCCCCCTATTCACTATGGGCTCTGGTCAAAAGTAGTGCACTATAAAGGGAAATGGGATGCCATTTGTGACGCAGCCATAGACAATCCCAGTCCTGAAATGAAAATAACCTGAAGTTTCTAGACACATTTTCCCCCAAAGTCTACTTCAGACGTTTGTATATTATGTCTGAAAAAATGTTTTAATTTGGTACATTAATAATAATTAATATTCAGGGCTTTGATTCAGGAAAGTAGCCTGCAGAGTTTCCCTCTAAACATATGGCTGTGCGTCCCAAATGGGACCCTATTCCCTATGTAGTGCACTACTTTTGACCAGATGCCTGTATAGGGAATAGGGTGCCATTTGGGACATAAGCACAGTGTGTTTCCAGTAGAGAGGAACGTCTCTCCAGTTGATTTGACGCGTGGCCACATACAGACATTTACGTCATTTAGCAGACTTACAGTAGCGAGTGCATACATCTTCATGCTGGTGCCCCCCCGTGGGATCGAACCCACAACCCTGGCGTTGCAAGTGCCATGCCCTACCAAGTGAGGCACACCGGACTGATTACGTCAGACCCGATTGCACCTACTGAGTCCACTGGGCAACGCTTTTGTGATGCAGGTTTTAACTCAAATAAACCTGCTTCCGTCCCAAATGGCACCCTATTCCCTGTATAGTGCATGACCAGGGATCATCATAGGGCTCTGGTCAAAAGTAGTGCACTATATAGGAAATAGGGTGCTATTTGGGACGCACCCCTGCTTAAAGGCTCAGTCAGAACTCCAGATAATAAAACAGAAAAAAAATGAATAACTATTCTGAATGTGACTTTCTAATGCGATCAGCAATCCAGCCGTAGGCCAAATCCATGAAAACATCCTGCCTGCTGTTGCCAAGGCCAATCAATGAAAACAAAATATTATTAACTACAAGCATATGCCCAGTGATGAAAAGAGTTGTATTCCAGACTGATTAAATGTGCTGGGTCATTTGGACCTCTGGTCAGTCCAACGAGAGAGTCTGAAATGGCACCCTATTCCCTATATATAGTGCACTACTTTTGACCAGAGGCCTATGGACCCTGGTTCACTATTTAGGGAGTAGGGTTCCGTTTTGGGACGCAGCCCCTAGTCATCACAGGCCTGCTTATGGCCCATTACACCTTCAGGGTACTTTACCAGGGTTCAGTCCTTTCCTTTCAAGTAGCAAAATGTGGCAATTACAACTTCAATTGAACACTGTATAATGAATGTAATTAGATTTTTTTAGAATTTCAGTATATTTTTTATTTTCTTTACTTTGTTGACTTTTCTCTCAGCCAATGACGGCAGGCAGAGAGACCGATCGGTTTGTTGTGATTGGCTGAGTCCCAGTCAGCCCGTCCCTAGTTCCTGGTTCTAACGGGCTACATTAAACGGGACACACTCTTTTCACGCCATTTCGCCTGGTGGGCGGCGCTATAGATTGGCCGTAGATTTCAGCATACATACCGGGTGAGTCAGTCAGTGTCGATAACTTGTCTCACGTCCGGATTGTGGAATCTATTCAACGCACAGCTAAACCATAGAGTACTGGTTGGCGAAGCCTAACTACTGTAATGGATGATGCTGTTTCATCAGGGAGCCACAAAGATGAAGTAAAAACCCAATGTAGTCGCTGAATTCACGTTATGTGTCCACAGAATAGAAAGAAGCTAAAAAAAATGATTTTATATTCCAATTTCACATTGTTTAAAGTTGAGAGATATCATTCACGCAAAGTAACGACACTGGGTGTGTAAGTGCGCCTCCAGGACAATAGGGTAAAGTTAGCCACATGTATATGCCCTCTAATAACTAAACTCAATAAAAACAAGGTCATAACTCCTCCGTTTCTATTCATAATATCATTCATAAATATAATACCATTTTAAAACATTTTTTCCATAAATAATAGTTTTTTTTATTTATCAGTATATTTAAGTTTAATCATAACATTTGTTCTAATATTTGTTCTATCTTTTCTGGAGGATAAAACTGAAATTGTAACTAGCTCTGTATGGCTTGTTTAAGAAAGGGCGATACTTTAAACAAAAATTTCATTTTCAATTATTCGTAATTGAGAAGTTGTAATCTGTATAAAGGCAAAAAGGCCATTTTTGAACAACGGATGAGCCTTTCTTTATAATCTAATGGAGAACCAATTTGGGTTTAAGTATAACTTACAGTGAGGGAAAAAAGTATTTGATCCCCTGCTGATTTTGTAAATTTGCCCACTGACAAAGATATGATCAGTCTATAATTTCAATGGTAGGTTTATTTGAACAGTGAGAGACAGAATAACAACAAAAAAATCCAGAAAAACGCATGTCAAAAATGTTATAAATTGATTTGCATTTTAATGAGGGAAATAAGTATTTATATATTTTTAAATGGACTGGATCTTTATACTTACCACCTGGGTCCTGTTTTAATAGTAAGGAAATCAGACCTTCTTGTTGACTACATGAAAGTCTACAATTTTTATAGGAGTAATTAAAACATGCTAATAATGGATCTTTGAGTACATCAAAAAAAGGTCTGACATACCTCTACTGGTGTACCATCAAGCCCTGGTGTTTTTCCAGAGTGAAAAGTTCCTCTTCTGTAAGTTGGCCTTCACAAAGGTCATTCTGTAAGTTGGCCTTCACGCAGGTCATTCTGTAAGTTGGCCTTCACGCAGGTCATTCTGTAAGTTGGCCTTCACACAGGTCATTCTGTAAATTGACCACAGGTCATTCTGTAAGTTGGCCTTCACACAGGTCATTCTGTAAATTGGCCACAGGTCATTCTGTAAATTGACCACAGGTTATTCTGTAAATTGGCCACAGGTCATTCTGTAAATTGGCCACAGGTCATTCTGTAAATTGGCCACAGGTCATTCTGTAAATTGGCCACAGGTCATTCTGTAAATTGGCCACAGGTCATTCTGTAAATTGGCCACAGGTCATTCTGTAAATTGGCCACAGGTCATTCTGTAAATTGGCCACAGGTCATTCTGTAAGTTGGCCACAGGTCATTCTGTGAATTTGTTAATTTTACATTATTATACATCATCTACAGTGGGGAGAACAAGTATTTGATACACTGCCGATTTTGCAGGTTTTCCTACTTACAAAGCATGTAGAGGTCTGTAATTTTTATCATAGGTACACTTCAACTGTGAGAGACGGAATCTAAAACAAAAATCCAGAAAATCACATTGTATGATTTTTAAGTAATTAATTTGCATTGTATTGCATGACATAAGTATTTGATACATCAGAAAAGCAGAACTTAATATTTGGTACAAAATTCTTTGTTTGCAATTACAGAGATCATACGTTTCCTGTAGGTCTTGACCAGGTTTGCACACACTGCAGCAGGGATTTTGTCCCACTCCTCCATACAGACCTTCTCCAGATCCTTCAGGTTTCGGGGCTGTCGCTGGGAAATACAGACATTCAGCTCCCTCCAAAGATTTTCTATTGGGTTCAGGTCTGGAGACTGGCTAGGCCACTCCAGGACCTTGATATGCTTCTTACGGAGCCACTCCTTAGTTGCCCTGGCTGTGTGTTTCGGGTCGTTGTCATGCTGGAAGACCCAGCCACGACCCATCTTCAATGCTCTTACTGAGGGAAGGAGGTTGTTGGCCAAGATCTCGCGATACATGGCCCCATCCATCCTCCCCTCAATAAGGTGCAGTCGTCCTCTCCCCTTTGCAGAAAAACATCCCCAAAGAATGATGTTTCCACCTCCATGCTTCACGGTTGGGATGGTGTTCTTGGGGTTGTACTCAACCTTCTTCTTCCTCCAAACACGGCGAGTGGAGTTTAGACCAAAAAGCTCTATTTTTGTCTCATCAGACCACATGACCTTCTCCCATTCCTCCTCTGGATCATCCAGAAGGTCATTGGCAAACTTCAGACGGGCCTGGACATGCGCTGGCTTGAGCAGGGGGACCTTGCGTGCGCTGCAGGATTTTAATCCATGACGGCGTAGTGTGTTACTAATGGTTTTCTTTGAGACTGTGGTCCCAGTTATCTTCAGGTCATTGACCAGGTCCTGCCATGTAGTTCTGGGCTGATCCCTCACCTTCCTCATGATCATTGATGCCCCACGAGGTGAGATCTTGCATGGAGCCCCAGACCGAGGGTGATTGACCGTCATCTTGAACTTCTTCCATTTCTTAATAATTGCGCCAACAGTTGTTGCCTTCTCACCAAGCTGCTTGTTTATTGTCCTGTAGCCCATCCCAGCCTTGTGCAGGTCTACAATTTTATCCCTGATGTCCTTACACAGCTCTCTGGTCTTGGCCATTGTGGAGAGGTTGGAGTCTGTTTGATTGAGTGTGTGGACAGGTGTCTTTTATACAGGTAACGAGTTCAAACAGGTGCAGTTAATACAGGTAATGAGTGGAGAACAGGAGGGCTTCTTTAAGAAAAACTAACAGGTCTGTGAGAGCCGGAATTCTTACTGGTTGGTAGGTGATCAAATACTTATGTCATGCAATAAAATGCAAATTAATTACTTAAAAATCATACAATGTGATTTTCTGGATTTTTGTTTTAGATTCCGTCTCTCACAGTTGAAGTGTACCTATGATAAAAATTACAGACCTCTACATGCTTAGTAAGTGGAAAACCTGCAAAATCGGCAGTGTATCAAATACTTGTTCTCCCCACTGTATATCTGTAGAGTGGGTTTCCTGTAAACAGTAGATATTATATTATTTCTCCTTTAGCAGGTAAAAATGGATCTTCTTTTTTTATACTATACTTCAATTATACTACCACAACCAATGTTTGTAAACGTATCATTAAAAAGCACCATGATGGTTAAATTATAAATAGCTGTGCTATAATATTTTCACTGTTAAGCATACTGTAGCTGCAACTTTGGAAACCTCCAATTATCCTAATATCCCACCTACTAAACCCCCCCCCCCCCCCCCCACAACACAACTGATTGGCTCAAACGCATGAAGAAGGAAAGATATTCCACAAATTAACTTTTAAGAAGGCACACCTGTTAATTGAAATGCATTCCAGATGACTACCTCATGAAGCTGGTTGAGAGAATAAATAATAATATGCCATTTAGCAGACGCTTTTATCCAAAGCGACTTACAGTCATGCGTGCATACATTTTTTTTTTGTGTATGGGTGGTCCCGGGGTTCGAACCCACTACCTTGGCGTTACAAGCGCCGTGCTCTACCAGCTGAGCTACAAGAGTGTGCAAAGCTGTCATCAAGGCAAAGGGTGGCTATCTGGTTACTACATGATTCCATATGTGTTATTTCATTTTTTTGATGTCTTCACTATTATTCTACAATGTGGAAAATAGTAAAAAATAAAATAAAACCTTTGGACCGGTAGTGTATATCGCAAGACCACTTCGTTATGTCCATTACATGCAAGACATATTTCATGTAGTCCTCATTACATCCTGTTTTATTCCCACAAAAAAGTAAGAAGGAAAAAGGAACATAGATTCTAACGGCTGCTAATAACTGCCAGTAGAAATGTGTCTTAGGCATCACACCGCTGCGGGGACTTGCATCCATTCATCCACAAGAGCATTAGTGAGGTCGGGCACTGATGTTGGGGGATTAGGCCTGGCTCGCAGTCGGCGTTCCAATTCATCCCAAAGGTGTTCGATGGGGTTGAGGTTAGGGTTCTGTGTAGGCCAGTCAAGTTCTTCCACACCGATCTCAACAAACAATTTCTGTATGGACCTCGCTTTGTGCAAGGTGACATTGTCATGCTGAAACAGGAAAGGGCCTTTCCCAAACTGTTGCCACAAAGTTGGAAAGCACAGAATCATCTAGAATGGCATTGTATGAATGTAGCGCAGGGTTCTTCAATTCCGGTCCTGGAGGGCCGAAACACCTCTGTTTTTCATCCTCTCCTTCTAATCAGGGGCTAATTCAGACCTGGGACACCAGGTGAGTGCAATTAACTACCAGGTAGAAATAAAAAACAGAAGTGTTTCGGCCCTCCAGGACCGGAATTGAAGAACCCTGCTGTAGCGTTAAGACTGCCGTTCACTTGAACTAAGGGGCCGAGCCCAAACCATGAAAAACAGCCCCAGGCCATTATTCCTCCTCCACCAAATTTTACAGTTGGCACTATGCATTGGGGCAGGTAGCGTTCTCCTGGCATCCGCCAAACCCAGATTCGTCCGTCGGACTGCCAGATGGTGAAGCGTGATTCATCAATCCAGTGAACTCATTTCCACTGCTCCAGAGTCCAATGGCGGCGAGCTTTACACCGCTCCAGCCAACACTTGGCATTGCACATTGTGGTTCTTAGGCTTGTGTGCAGCTGCTCGGCCATGGAAACACATTTCATGAAGCTCCCGATGAACAGTTCTTGTTCTGACGTTGCTTCCAGAGGCAGTTTGGAACTCGGTAGTGAGTGTTGCAACCTGTGAGTTCATTGTTCACTTTTGGGAAAACTGGTCCAGCCACTTGGTAGATATCTATCATTAATTTAAATAAATCTAAACGATGTTCTGTTATGAAAGATTGTAAACTATAAAGTATAAACCCACCAGAGCTTAATTTATCAATGAGGTCCCAGGCGGAGTGTTCGCAGTTGAACGTGGACACGCATTGAATCCCACACCTACAGTCCACTACCTGGCAACAGTCCACTACCTGACAACAGTCCACTACCTGGCAACAGTCCACTACCTGGAAACAGTCCACTACCTGGCAACAGTCCACTACCTGACAACAGTCCACTACCTGACAACAGTCCAAGGTTCTGGAGTTCTCTGTTTAGCACCTTCATGTAGTATTAGCAGTTAAAGGTAGACTCAGTGAGCAGCACCGCAGATACTGAGATGAGCGAGATGCAACACTTCGCTCTCATTGAGCCTCACACTTCAACGCTCTTAGATGTTGCGGAATTTGACCCACTATGATGTTTACATCCTGCATCTACGTCATACTGCTGAGTCTACCTTTAAACTAGAAACATTATCAATATTTGGCATCATCATGTAGAAACAGTTCAACTGGGAACAGTATCATAATTTGGCATCATCATGTAGAAACAGTTCAACTGGGAACAGTATCAATATTTGGCATCATCATGTAGAAACAGTTCAACTGGGAACAGTATCATAATTTGGCATCATCATGTAGAAACAGTTCAACTGGGAACAGTATCAATATTTGGCATCATCATGTAGAAACAGTTCAACTGGGAACAGTATCAATATTTGGCATCATCATGTAGAAACAGTTCAACTGGGAACAGTATCAATATTTGGCGTCATCATGTAGAAACAGTTCAACTGGGAACAGTATCAATATTTGGCATCATCATGTAGAAACAGTTCAACTGGGAAAAGTATCAATATTTGGCATCATCATGTAGAAACAGTTCAACTGGGAACAGTATCATAATTTGGCATCATCATGTAGAAACAGTTCAACTGGGAACAGTATCAATATTTGGCATCATCATGTAGAAACATCCTATCAAAGATGAATCTAACATGACTCCTATCCAAGAGGAATCTAACATGACTCCTATCCAAGATGAATCTAACATGACTCCTATCCACGATGAATCTAACATGACTCCTATCCAAGATTAATCTAACATGACTCCAACCAATCTTAATCTAACATGACTCCTATCCAATCTTAATCTAACATGACTCTTATCCAAGATTAATCTAACATGACTCCTATCCAAGATGAATCTAACATGACTCCTATCCAAGATGAATCTAACATGACTCCTATCCAATCTTAATCTAACATGACTCCTATCCAATCTTAATCTAACATGACTCCTATACAAGATGAATCTAACATGACTCCTATCCAAGATGAATCTAACATGACTCCTATCCAAGATGAATCTAAAATGACTCCTATCCAAGATGAATCTAACATGACTCCTATCCAAGATGAATCTAACATGACTCCTATCCAAGATTAATCTAACATGACTCCTATCCAAGATTAATCTAACACGACTCCTATCCAAGATTAATCTAACATGACTCCTATCCAAGATGAATCTAACATGACTCCTATCCAAGATGAATCTAACATGACTCCTATCCAAGATGAATTCTAACATGACTCCTATCCAAGATGAATCTAACATGACTCCTATCCACGATGAATCTAACATGACTCCTATCCAAGATGAATCTAACATGACTCCTATCCAATCTTAATCTAACATGACTCCTATCCAATCTTAATCTAACATGACTCTTATCCAAGATGAATCTAACATGACTCATATCCAAGATGAATCTAACATGACTCCTATCCAATCTTAATCTAACATGACTCCTATCCAATCTTAATCTAACATGACTCCTATACAAGATGAATCGAACATGACTCCTATCCAAGAAGAATCTAACATGACTCCTATCCAAGATGAATCTAACATGACTCCTATCCAAGATTAATCTAACATGACTCCTATCCAATCTTAATCTAACATGACTCCTATCCAATCTTAATCTAACATGACTCCTATCCAAGATGAATCTAACATGACTCCTATCCAAGATGAATCTAACATGACTCCTATCCAAGATTAATCTAAGATGACTCCTATCCAAGATGAATCTAACATGACTCCTATCCAAGATGAATCTAACTTGACTCCTATCCAATCTTAATCTAACATGACTCCTATCCAAGATGAATCTAACATGACTCCTATCCAAGATGAATCTAACATGACTCCTATCCAAGATGAATCTAACATGACTCCTATCCAAGATGAATCTAACATGACTCCTATCCAAGATGAATCTAACATGACTCCTATCCACGATGAATCTAACATGACTCCTATCCAAGATGAATCTAACATGACTCCTATCCAATCTTAATCTAACATGACTCCTATCCAATCTTAATCTAACATGACTCTTATCCAAGATGAATCTAACATGACTCCTATCCAAGATGAATCTAACATGACTCCTATCCAAGATGAATCTAACATGACTCCTATCCAATCTTAATCTAACATGACTCCTATCCAATCTTAATCTAACATGACTCCTATACAAGATGAATCGAGCATGACTCCTATCCAAGATGAATCTAACATGACTCCTATCCAAGATGAATCTAACATGACTCCTATTCAAGATGAATCTAACATGACTCCTATCCAATCTTAATCTAACATGACTCCTATCCAATCTTAATCTAACATGACTCCTATCCAAGATGAATCTAACATGACTCCTATCCAAGATGAATCTAACATGACTCCCATCCAAGATTAATCTAACATGACTCCTATCCAATCTTAATCTAACATGACTCCTATCCAATATGAATCTAACATGACTCCTATCCAAGATGAATCTAACATGACTCCCATCCAAGATTAATCTAACATGACTCCTATCCAATCTTAATCTAACATGACTCCTATCCAATATGAATCTAACATGACTCCTATCCAAGATGAATCTAACATGACTCCTATCCAAGATGAATCTAACTTGACTCCTATCCAATCTTAATCTAACATGACTCCTATCCAATATGAATCTAACATGACTCCTATCCAAGATGAATCTAACTTGACTCCTATCCAAGATGAATCTAACATGACTCCTATCCAAGATGAATCTAACATGACTCCTATCCAAGATGAATCTAACATGAATCCTATCCAATCTTAATCTAACATGACTCCTATCCAATCTTAATCTAACATGACTCCTATCCAAGATGAATCTAACATGACTCCTATCCAAGATGAATCTAACATGACTCCTATCCAAGATGAATCTAACATGAATCCTATCCAATCTTAATCTAACATGACTCCTATCCAATCTTAATCTAACATGACTCCTATCCAAGATGAATCTAACATGACTCCTATCCAAGATGAATCTAACATGAATCCTATCCAATCTTAATCTAACATGACTCCTATCCAAGATGAATCTAACATGAATCCTATCCAATCTTAATCTAACATGCAATCCTCTTGTCTCTCTTGTCTCTCAGCACTACAGTCGAGTCCCCTCCTCCTCCGCTGGTCCGTATTGTTAATGGTTACATCACCGTACGGCCTCACCACCACGACCACGAGAGAGGCCACGCCCACGGCAGAGCCAATTACAACAGGTTGTTGTCAGACTCCTCCGCCTCTACGCCATGGTCTTTCCTCTGGTTACTGTTTACAGTGTTGGGTCATATCTGGTTTCTCTACTAGCAGATATAATGCAGGAGGTTACTGGTTCAAACCCCTCCTGCTAACATCTGGACTCTCTAATACCAGATCTCTCTAGTACCAGATCTGTACAGGAGGTTACTGGTTCAAACCCCTCCTGCTAACATCTGGACTCTCTAATACCAGATCTCTCTAGTACCAGATCTGTACAGGAGATTACTGGTTCAAACCCCCTCCTGCTAACATCTGGACTCTCTAATACCAGATCTCTCTAGTACCAGATCTGTACAGGAGGTTGCTGGTTCAAAACCCTCCTGCAAACATCTGGACTCTGTTGTAGCAGCTGTAGTCCTGTTAAGAGTGTTAGTTTAGATCTGGACTTTGCAGCTCTAGTGCAGGAGGTTGTTGGTTTAAAACCCTCCTGCTAACATCTGGACTCTAGTAGCAGGAGGTTACTGGTTTAAAGCCCTCCTGCTAACATCTGGACTCTAGTAGCAGGAGGTTACTGGTTTAAAGCCCTCCTGCTAACATCTGGACTCTAGTAGAAGGAGGTTACTGGTTTAAAGCCCTCCTGCTAACATCTGGACTCTAGTGCAGGAGGTTACTGGTTTAAAGCCCTCCTGCTAACATCTGGACTCTAGTAGAAGGAGAGTACTGGTTTAAAGCCCTCCTGCTAACATCTGGACTCTAGTAGAAGGAGGTTACTGGTTTAAAGCCCTCCTGCTAACATCTGGACTCTAGTAGCAGCTCTAGTCTAAAGCAGGAGGTTACTGGTTCAAAGCCCTCCTGCTCACAAGGAATCATCTATTTCAACACTCAATGGGGCGAATCCAAACTTTCCCTTATGTCAAATTTTCACTTAATCATGCATTGATATCAAGTGAAAATTTGACTTAAAGGGATACTTCAGGATTTTGGCAATGAAGCCCTTTATGTACTTCCCCAGAGTCCGATTAACTCCTGCATACCATTTTTTTATGTCTCTGCATCCAGTATGAAGGAAGTTGGAGGTAGTTTCGCGAGCCAATGCTAACTAGCGTTAGCACAATGACTCGAAGTCTATGGTATCTACTAGCATGCAATTGCACTAACGCTAGTTAGCAACTTCCTTCAAACTGCACGCAGAGACATAAAAATGGTATCCACCAGTTCATCTGACTCTGGGGAACTAGATAAAGGGCTTCATTGTCAAAATCCTGAAGTATCCCTTTAATGGAAGTCAGGATTTGCCAAATCAGTCTCAACTGGATATTTTTCCGTGTTATTTTTTATGTAATTTTTACAGCAGCAATGTTTTATAATAACCCAAACAGCTCTTACTCTGGCAAGATTGTTTTCTTCCAACCCCCTTAATTAATTTATTCTTCACTTTTTGAAGAATGTGTTTTGTATCGCATAATACTGTGGGAATTGTATATATCTACATATTATAGATTGTATTTTAGAAAAATGAAATTTTAAATGGTTGAATGTGTTTTGTTTATTGTTGTTGTTTATAAATAGGTACAGTATATTTTTTAGACTAAAGCTGGTACTAACCACCATAACCCGTATTTGATAGCCTGGTTCCCGAATCTGTTTGTGCTGTCTTTGCATTGTTCCACCTGATAATTAATTGCACCCACCTACTGCCCCAGGTCTAAATCGATCCTTGATTTGGCTATGTTATAGGAGTTGTCAAGACAGCACAAACATATCTGGAACCAGGCTACGTACCTCTCTTATGTTGGAAATGTGATTTCGGGGAGAAATGATCCAAACCAGTGTTATCTACGGCTTGTTGTCTGGAAGAAATGATCCAAACCAGTGTTATCTGCGGCTTGTTGTCTGGAAGAAATGATCCAAACCAGTGTTATATATGGCTGGTTGTTTGTCTGTCGTACGCTGAGAGAATTATGTTTTAATGTTTTTACATAATGTGTTTAATTTATTTAACTATATAGTTGTAGGTAATCTAAACATGTCTTGTGATTGTTGTTGTTCATCCCAATGTGATTTGTTCATTCTCTCTCCAGCCTCCCAGTCAGCCTAAAAGCTGGTTTATACTAAAGGTCAAACAACATGTCTGTGTGTACCTACTGGAATGTGACGTGTCCACAGACCGTCTTTAGACCGACTGTAAATCGACCTTAAGTTTGGATCATCTACTACCATATAGCAGCAGATTCATGGAATGAGTTTATTCCTGTTGTAGCTCACTGAAATGAGTTCTAGAAGGTTGTAGCTCACTGAAATGAGTTCTAGAAGGGTTGTAGCTCACTGAAATGAGTTCTAGAAGGGTTGTAGCTCGCTGAAATGAGTTTATTCCTGTTGTAGCTCACTGAAATGAGTTGTAGAAGGTTGTAGCTCGCTGAAATGAGTGTATTCCTGTTGTAGCTCACTGAAATGAGTTCTAGAAGGGTTGTAGCTCGCTGAAATGAGTTTATTCCTGTTGTAGCTCACTGAAATGAGTTCTAGAAGGTTGTAGCTCGCTGAAATGAGTTTATTCCTGTTGTAGCTCACTGAAATGAGTTGTAGAAGGGTTGTAGCTCGCTGAAATGAGTTTATTCCTGTTGTAGCTCACTGAAATGAGTTGTAGAAGGTTGTAGCTCACTGAAATGAGTTTATTCCTGTTGTAGCTCACTGAAATGAGTTCTAGAAGGTTGTAGCTCACTGAAATGAGTTCTAGAAGGTTGTAGCTCACTGAAATGAGTTGTAGAAGGTTGTAGCTCACTGAAATGAGTTCTAGAAGGTTGTAGCTCGCTGAAATGAGTTTATTCCTGTTGTAGCTCACTGAAATTAGTTGTAGAAGGGTTGTAGCTCGCTGAAATGAGTTTATTCCTGTTGTAGCTCACTGAAATGAGTTGTAGAAGGTTGTAGCTCACTGAAATGAGTTTATTCCTGTTGTAGCTCACTGAAATGAGTTCTAGAAGGTTGTAGCTCACTGAAATGAGTTCTAGAAGGGTTGTAGCTCACTGAAATGAGTTCTAGAAGGGTTGTAGCTCGCTGAAATGAGTTTATTCCTGTTGTAGCTCACTGAAATGAGTTGTAGAAGGTTGTAGCTCGCTGAAATGAGTGTATTCCTGTTGTAGCTCACTGAAATGAGTTCTAGAAGGGTTGTAGCTCGCTGAAATGAGTTTATTCCTGTTGTAGCTCACTGAAATGAGTTCTAGAAGGTTGTAGCTCGCTGAAATGAGTTTATTCCTGTTGTAGCTCACTGAAATGAGTTGTAGAAGGGTTGTAGCTCGCTGAAATGAGTTTATTCCTGTTGTAGCTCACTGAAATGAGTTGTAGAAGGTTGTAGCTCACTGAAATGAGTTTATTCCTGTTGTAGCTCACTGAAATGAGTTCTAGAAGGTTGTAGCTCACTGAAATGAGTTCTAGAAGGTTGTAGCTCACTGAAATGAGTTGTAGAAGGTTGTAGCTCACTGAAATGAGTTCTAGAAGGTTGTAGCTCGCTGAAATGAGTTTATTCCTGTTGTAGCTCACTGAAATGAGTTGTAGAAGGGTTGTAGCTCGCTGAAATGAGTTTATTCCTGTTGTAGCTCACTGAAATGAGTTGTAGAAGGTTGTAGCTCACTGAAATGAGTTTATTCCTGTTGTAGCTCACTGAAATGAGTTCTAGAAGGTTGTAGCTCACTGCAATGAGTTCTAGAAGGTTGTAGCTCACTGAAATGAGTTGTAGAAGGTTGTAGCTCACTGAAATGAGTTCTAGAAGGTTGTAGCTCGCTGAAATGAGTTTATTCCTGTTGTAGCTCACTGAAATGAGTTGTAGAAGGGTTGTAGCTCGCTGAAATGAGTTTATTCCTGTTGTAGCTCACTGAAATGAGTTGTAGAAGGTTGTAGCTCACTGAAATGAGTTTATTCCTGTTGTAGCTCACTGAAATGAGTTCTAGAAGGTTATAGCTCACTGAAATGAGTTGTAGAAGGTTGTAGCTCACTGAAATGAGTTCTAGAAGGTTGTAGATCGCTGAAATGAGTTTATTCCTGTTGTAGCTCACTGAAATGAGTTGTAGAAGGGTTGTAGCTCGCTGAAATGAGTTTATTCCTGTTGTAGCTCACTGAAATGAGTTGTAGAAGGGTTGTAGCTCGCTGAAATGAGTTTATTCCTGTTGTAGCTCACTGAAATGAGTTGTAGAAGGTTGTAGCTCACTGAAATGAGTTTATTCCTGTTGTAGCTCACTGAAATGAGTTCTAGAAGGTTGTAGCTCACTGAAATGAGTTCTAGAAGGTTGTAGCTCACTGAAATGAGTTCTAGAAGGTTGTAGCTAGCTGAAATGAGTTTATTCCTGTTGTAGCTCACTGAAATGAGTTGTAGAAGGTTGTAGCTCACTGAAATGAGTTTATTCCTGTTGTAGCTCACTGAAATGAGTTGTAGAAGGTTGTAGCTCGCTGAAATGAGTTTATTCCTGTTGTAGCTCACTGAAATGAGTTCTAGAAGGTTGTAGCTCACTGAAATGAGTTCTAGAAGGGTTGTAGCTCACTGAAATGAGTTCTAGAAGGGTTGTAGCTCGCTGAAATGAGTTTATTCCTGTTGTAGCTCACTGAAATGAGTTGTAGAAGGTTGTAGCTCGCTGAAATGAGTGTATTCCTGTTGTAGCTCACTGAAATGAGTTCTAGAAGGGTTGTAGCTCGCTGAAATGAGTTTATTCCTGTTGTAGCTCACTGAAATGAGTTCTAGAAGGTTGTAGCTCGCTGAAATGAGTTTATTCCTGTTGTAGCTCACTGAAATGAGTTGTAGAAGGGTTGTAGCTCGCTGAAATGAGTTTATTCCTGTTGTAGCTCACTGAAATGAGTTGTAGAAGGTTGTAGCTCACTGAAATGAGTTTATTCCTGTTGTAGCTCACTGAAATGAGTTCTAGAAGGTTGTAGCTCACTGAAATGAGTTCTAGAAGGTTGTAGCTCACTGAAATGAGTTGTAGAAGGTTGTAGCTCACTGAAATGAGTTCTAGAAGGTTGTAGCTCGCTGAAATGAGTTTATTCCTGTTGTAGCTCACTGAAATTAGTTGTAGAAGGGTTGTAGCTCGCTGAAATGAGTTTATTCCTGTTGTAGCTCACTGAAA